TCAGTCATTCTTTCTGAGGCAACAAGTTCAGAGCAATTCCTGTCGTCATCTTAGTTACAGCCTGAGCTCTGCACTGGTCATTGGTGTAGGGTCAGATGAGCACAACGGACTCCTGAACGCATGAGCCGAGCACTGCAGTTCACTGTCATCTCGTTGCTGTGCTGGGAGCCTGTGCTGCAGTGTGCTGTGTCTCTATTTGCACACAGCCTTTGTCAGATGCCTGGCACCACGCCGGCAGACTGGCCCTATTTTTATTTGTTGATAGATCTCTCTTACATCTGATACTTTGATTAATGCACATTGATTTCTCCTGTTTCTGCTTGGTGGAAAGGGTTCTCGTAGCAGCAGCCTAAGAACTGGTTTCCCTTGGAGGGGTTTCTGCATTAAATCCTCAGCATGTAAAGCTACAAACCGGCCCTGAGCACAACATATATTTTCAGGACTTGCTTTTCCCTGTCACGTAGTGGCTTTAAACGGCAAAATATTTTTGCAAAGACAAATTGCTTTGCAGGTACCATGCTGAGCTTCTGGAAAGGCTCCAAATGCACAGAGGGATTCAGAAAGATTCTCTGAGTCCCAGTCAACAAAGTGTGATAACCCCAAGCACTTATTTTCTGTGTATTAAAACTAGAGAAGTGTGAAATATTGGCAACAAATTGTGGCAGTGTTTCAAACTGAAGGTAGTCACACTACCGAAGAGGGCTGGGTTGCAGCACCTTGGCTCTCCTATAACTGGGAGCATTTTTTTCAATATGGACAGGCCTCCTCTGAGCAGAAAACAGCTAAAATAGGACAGTTTTCCATCAAATATCATCTTCTATGCCAATATGAACTTCAGAATAAATGTCTGATGCCACCTCAGGGCAAGATATTATTTTCACACTGAGCAAAACCTTATGTTACAGTATGCTTGGAGATGCTTTGTCTGCCCCTGGCCCCTTTTCCCATCTCCAGAGCATTCAGTTGGTGAAGATTGAGGTGGAAATGCCTGCAGTGGCACAATCTCACCTCTTTTCCTGGCAATAGAAAATCTGTGGTTGTACTCCATTGCTGTTACTGGGATGCCAGAAATTCCCTGCTGGGAAGAACAGTGCTGAGCTCTCTTTCTCCTGCAGCACTGGATTCTTCACTTCTCTCCCTTTTACCTGTCTCAAAATTCCCTCAGTTAAAAGCAGAGGATTTTTAACCTTTTTCTCTCCAGAAGTGGAATGGAATCTAATCCCCTACATGTGGGTTAAACTGCGTGTTATTTATTGAAATCAGCAGCTCTACAAAGTTAGGTAAGAAGTTGCTTTTCAAGGCCCTGGGTGGCTCTAAACATTATTAAACGTGGTCATTAGAACATGCTTTTCCAACCATTGAATGGTTGTGATCATTAAATATTTTGTTTTAATAAGTGCTTGCTTTTTCAGCTGCTGCATGGCCTTAATCATTTTTTTTTTCCTCATTAAAAACTGTTGATTTTCCAGCTCATGAGCCACTGAAAATACTGTTCTTTGTTTTTTTTCTCTCCCTCTCTTTCTCTCTTTTTTAAATTCACTGATCAGTTTATTTTTATTTTAAAAAAGAAGTGAGGGTTTTGGAGCCTTTGGCTAAAATAACTTGTTTTCAGCTACTAGGACAAGTATAGGGCAAGGCTTAGGATAACATAAAATCAAACCTGGCTTGTGTGAACAAGTTCCATTGAGATAAGAACATGCAAACTATCCAAACATCAGCAGATTGTCTTCTCTGTGTGCTCTGAAAGGCCTGATGAATCACACTTCTGAGTGCCAATTTTCCCACTTGCCAATCAGGCTTGTCCTATTGTGTCATCTGAATAGATTCACAAGGCAAAATATGAAGCAACCATAGGGTCAGAAACAAAGCATGTATGTTTTGGATTCAGAATGGGGATGAGAAGTCTGACTTAAATTTCTTTTTTTTTTTTTTTTTTTTTTTTTGTATAAGGAAGACCATGTTATGTTGGAAGAAAAGCAAATAGGAGGAAAGGTCTTTTGCTAAAGCATTACGCTGGAAAAATCTACTTCTGCTGCGTGCTCGTTGTATGGCCATGAGCAACTCATTTGTGCCATGATTCTGTAGCCTAACTGTATACATTAGAAAATGCTTGGGATGCTCTAGAAGGCCTCCAGGTCCCCTTTCCAGGAAGGAAGAAGTCTTCTGTAGGCCACGCGTTGTTTCTGTTAGTGAAGTGAAGTCTTGGGGAGTGTGTCTGAAGTGACATCAACTATTTCTGTTTAGACAAATGAATTATAGCTTAGTTGTCCTAGTGTTCATCTAATAGTAAATCCCACGAATGTGCTGGAGACAGAAGCTACCCTTACAATGTCCTCTGCCATTCCTGCTGCCACGGGTTCCTGATTTTCGTAGTGGTTGTGATGGAGGAAGAGACATAGCAAGGAAGGCATTTGACATGAAGTGGCCAGTGTCTTGCTCAACTGAGGAGCTCTCCGTAGGGAGTGCCAGTGTGGCAGCCTTCTCCTGTGGCTGGGGCATTTGGCTTTCTGCAGCTTCTAAATCACCCACTTGGAATGCACTGTGCATCAGCCTGGAAGGGAGTCAAACCGTTTTATGAAAGCTGCAATTAGTGGCTTCCCACAAATAGCATCCAGCACTGACAAGTGGCTGCTCTGTAATGCTGTTTATGGGCTTGTTTCAGGTAATGGAATTTCATTGCCTTTCAGGTGCTCTCGCCACAGGAAGCACATATATTTTTTCAGCTCTGTGATTTTTTCCACTAAATTGCGCAAATCATTTTATTTGGGCAAGTGCATTGGAAACGTTTTACTCGGCATTTATTTTGTAGCTCAAGTCCTTCTTGAAGGGAAGAATAAATATGTTCTTGAGGGCAAACAGCTGAGTTGGGAAAGAGGAGAGGGAACAGAAACAATAGGGAAACAAAGCACTTTTTCTCCTATCATAAGTCGGTATGTATGCACTGACTTTGTGTATCTGTGCTGATTGGTGATGAATGTATCCAAATTCTTCCTTTTTTCATCCCTGCACTGTGTCATCTTCTAGCAGAAGTGATGTTGGGGTCTTCTGGACACATGCATGCCTACCCTGGGAGGCCTGACTGAAGTGTCGCAGAAGTTTCCTAACTCTCCTACTGCCTATTTAAATACAATTGCTGTCTTTGTTGAAATTGAGCAGATCACATGGAGAGTTCAAATCATAGAGTCATTAAGGTTGGAGAAGACCACTAAAATAATCTAATCCAACCAATCAAGTCATCACCACCATGCCCACTAAATGATCTCTTTAGCTTTATTGGATGGTTGCGTTGTGCTGAATGTGGAAACAGGAGGTAAGAGTGAGTCATGCTGGTTTTGGTCATCTTGTGTAGTTTGAAGGTTTACCCGGGATGAAACATAGCATCAGCCATCCTCGGGATCTCCCTGTGTGGTCTGTGCTTAGCAGAGTCCTGCTGGGCTGGCTGACTGGCACTTTATAGGAAAATATCCCACATGAATAGCAGTGAAAAGAAAGTCAGTGAGATGAGATCGCTTACGCTGAGCCTGTTATGGCATGGTTAGGCATAAAGTGCATTTTTAAGGAAAGCTAAGTGTCATACTGCACAGCATCCTCTTCTGTTCGTGACCCTTGCTGAAATCACAAGCATCAAAGGGGAGAGAAGGCCACAAACCCAAAAAACAGGTGAATCAAAGGCGACGTAGTCAATTCAAGGGGGAAATGTGAAATCAAAGTTGCAGAAAACCGGGGCTCCTAATAGGATAATACAGGTAATACTATCACACAGCACTAAAACAATATAGGACTAATTAGCTCAAATATTTGCTGACTATGTGGGTTTTGAGGGAAGGGGGGGGGGGTATGTGCTTTTATAAAACTTAATTAACCCATAGAATAAATCAGTTTCATTCATTGGCACAACAGAACCAATCAAGATAGGCTTACTGTTTGCTCATTTGGAAAGCGATTAGGATTCTCATTTAGACTTAATTACAGTGCAAAGGTTGACAATTATCATCTTTGTGGAAGCACTGGATGCCACAGTATCTCAGTTGAACATGTGCCTATAATTATACACATCATTTTCTTAGTAGAAAATGTAACCCACTTATTACCTGGGTCTCATGCCTGTAATTAGAGATAGCAGTAATAAAAAAAAAAAATATGGAAGAAGTGGGCTGGTGCTGAATTGTTTTGGATCTTTCCTTAGCAAATTGCTTTGTGCAACTCTTTGTCACAAATTAAAATCTCATTTTGTCCTTGGTACTTTTTATGAAAGAAAATCTGTCACCATGCCAAGGACCCAAACTAACCAAACGGGTCATATTTTCACACCACAAAAAAACCCCACAGCCTCAGATTGGTCTGGTACACAAACCCTTCCTTACAGCTCCCTGAAGTTCCTTGTGTTACACAGACATGTATTTATCGCCCAGGTCATTCCAGAAGCAAGCTGTTGAGAGAAACTTGGTCACTCTCTTTGGAAAATCACAGCTTGAGCTGAACCAAAGCTGAATAGACTTAGCCTGTTGACCAAAATAAATGACATTAATCTTAAAGTTCTCAAGAAGTGCTTGACTGCAGTCATGTTTAATGCAGCCAAAACCAAATGATGAGCAGGTTGAGGTTCCCCTTACCCCTTGCATCCAGGGGCTGCTCTGCAAGTGTGTCAGCTCAGATAAGGGAAAAATAAAGCTCAAAGCATTTTGCAGAAGCTAATTACAGATAAGGCAGGAGGTAAAATGAGGTTGTAAGAAACCTAACCTTGCTTCAGTCAGTTCAGTTGCTGTCTGTGGTGCTTTTTTTCTTTTTTTCTTATCCTACGGGCTTGTATAGAAGTTGTGGGTGAGTGCCCTTTGCAGGGAGCATCAGTGCTTTGGTGTAAGACCAGAAACTGAACAGCTATCACAGCCACATAGCAAACTTTATTGGCTCCTTTTGTTCCAGCTGCATTTATTTCAAAGCCAGAGTGAGAGAGGTGGCAGAATGCAGGGCTTTGACTTTCTTGTGCTTGTTTCTTGCAGCACGTCTCATCTTAGCATAATACCTGAACCTTCTGGGAAGAACAGTAGACTTTGGGACCAGGACACAACTTTTCCATCAGCAGCATTTTGGCTACTTACCAACTGAAATGGTGAGTTTGCCTCACATGTTTCCAAGGTTTCCGAGGGATAAAAGGAAGCATAGATTTTTCCACCTGTATATGCTTTTTATTTTCCACTGTTGATGAAGAAAAACTTTATCAGTATTTCTTCCTTTTACTCTTGCCCTTTTTCTTTTTAACACCACCACTTTCCTGCTGAAATGAGCACTGCCTTGTCAGTTAAAAAGAATGAAAAGCACCTTTATCAGGTCAGATCATCACTGTGACAGTAGATAGTGTCAGCAGGACTCCAGGGAGCTCATTTCCATAGCCGGTTTCTGCAGAAAGGCAGCTGAGATGCTGCAGGCAGAAAGGTGTTTTTGTTGGCTCTCCAGAAGTGCTAACTTGTGTTTGCATTCTGTTTTCTTCTGAGGCAGAAGGAAACAAAGTATTCCTAGGACAAAGGGGGAATGGTTTTAAAGTGAAAGGTTGGATATTTAGGTTAGATGTTAGGGGAGGAAATTCTTTACTCAGAGGGTGGTGAGGCCCTGGCACAGACTGCCCAGAGAAGCTGTGGGTGCTCCATCTGTAGAGGTGCTCAAGGCCAGGCTGAATGGGACCCTGGGCAGCCTGAGCTGGTGGGGTCAACCAGCCTGTGGCAGGGGGTTGGAACTTGATGGGCTTTAAGGTCCCTTCCAAGAAGAGTAAGTCCTTACAGTGTTAGAGGTATCTGTGATGCAGAAGGCCTTTGCTTTTATTTTGTTTATCCCCTTCACTGGAGCTTTATTTAGCACCACAGAACTTGCACGGTATCATTGTGTCATTTTGAAACAGCCAAGAGACTGGCACAGGCTGCCCGGGGAGGTGGTGGAGTCACCATCCCTGGAGATGTTCAAGGAATGTGGAGATGAAGCAGTGAGGGACGTGATCAATTATCATGGTGGGGGTGGGCTGGGGTTGGGCTGAATGATCTGAGAGGTATTTTCCAATGTTAATGGTCTTGTGATTCTACTGGCTCCCAGCTGCCTGGCAGCCAAATCTCCTTCAGATGTATGCAGAAAACCCTGCTCATTTTATAATGCCAGGAGTGCTTGGTGGGACTGAAGGAGGGCTTCCATGTGTCTCTTCAGCTGGGAGCATCCCAATCACTCCAGACAAGTTGGGGCAGGGCAGACGTGCCCCAGCTGCAGTTCTCAGTGCAGGATGGATGAGCTTTCTTTTGAACTCCTGAACTATAAATTCCCCTCCTGGCCAAGCAACCGTGGTGGGTAGGACAATGGGGAGAAGAAAGGGCTGCTCAGCGAATGAAATACCAGTAGGTGTGCGTGTGTAGGTGGTGGGAGCAGCTGGCTTGCCAAACCCACTTGGATTCATTCCACCTAACTGAGTGCAGTTGGGAAACCTGGCAGGGCGAGGTTGCTGGGTACCTGGAAAAGCTCATTTGGAATGCTTGGTATCTCCAGCTCCCCACAATTAAGTGATTAGTTGCGATGGGCAGAGGTTTGAAGAAACATGATGAGTTGAGAAATATTGTATGTTGCTTGAAATCTAGGCAAAACAGTTAAAAACGAAAGAAAGTAATACAGAGCTCTAGGAGAGTAGAATCCTTGTAACAGGAGGAAGCAGGAAATGAATGGAGCAGGGATTTGTTAGCAAACATCAGTCCAGGCCAATTCATTGCTTCACGCAGAACAAGTTGTGCCACTTCAGTGTTTATCCACCACAGGAGACCCAGGTAAGAAAACAAACAGGCGGAGGAACTTGCTGGCACACGGGCACTCACTTGTTATCAGGCTGCACAGGCATGTGAAATGTCAGGCAGGAGGTGCACTGCTACACATAGTGCCTTCCTTTACTGTGAGCAGCATCAAAATCCTCCAGAGGGATTTGTAAGGGTTCAAAAGCCAGAGCTGTAATGTGTGGATGCAGGTTACTGGCCCAGGGAAGATGGGCAGAAAGATTCAGGAGCAAAGAAACTGTTGGATTAGATGATTTAAGTGGTCTTTGCCAACCTTACTCACTGCATGCTTCATAGGGCCACATTTACACCAACCTAATCAATCAGAAACCTGGGGTAACATTTGTTTTCCTTCCTCATTCACCTTCAGTATCATTTCTGTTTATTTCTGAAGTTTTATGTCTGCCCCAGCCAGCAGCAATCCAAACAGCCCTGTTACTATAACATTTCTGAATCACCTTTGGAGAAGGAAGAAGTTAGGGATGGTCAATATGAGTTTTGGAAAGCACCTAGATTTTGCATCCTTGCATGGTTTCAGCCCATGTGAGCCATGCAATTACTTTCTTTGTGACTCTTGGAGAGACAGTCAGTCTCAGAGCCATCTGCTTTTCACAGGTTAACAGTATGGGAAATAAAAGAAGTCCATTTCTCGTTACAACACTTCTGAAGGTTAAGCCTGAAGCAGAGCATACTTGTTGTTCAAAACTGCAACAGTAAGTTCTGAGACAGCTGTAGTCTTACACAGATATATAAGAAAACTGTTAGTTTATTATTGCCATCAATCTGAATATGCAGCTGAGCAGAAAGTGCCTTGGTCTATCATACCGTAATTATTAATTGGGCTATTCAAAGATGTGAGTGACTTCAGCGTGGCAGTTAAAACCTCTTGCATTGAAGCACAGCTTTGGGGACTAAAAGGAAGTGTTGGATGCACTCACCTCTGAGAAGGATGGGTGTTTGCATTAAGTGTGGATAAGATGCGCTGCCTGAATTCACGCTAAGCCCCTCAGCAGAGTGACTGGAAAATGGCTTTGAGAACTCCAGGTACAGCTTATGCAAAAAATTCATCCAAGTACCTAGAACTAAGCAATCTCCCTTTTGATACAGTGTCCACTGAATTAGTGAGCTGTAGAGCCAGAAAATTAAAGGTGAAGTGGCCCCGATTGGTTTGGCTTTGGTGTTCAGGCTTTTTGAGTGCCTTGCTTTAAAAGAAGCTACAAAAAGAAGTGCTATCTGAATATTCTGATAACTCACAGGCACCTGAAAGTAGGATGCTTGCTCTTTGCGAGATACTTCCTTGGGGACTGGTGCTAGGATGTCATGCAAAGTGAATCTGGCAGCAGTGATTTGGAGCAGAGTACAAGTGCTGAGCAGGTTTGGGATGGCTCAGCACTTCTGCTGCAGGAGGAACCTTCCGTATTCCTATCTGATCTTTACACTAAGATCCAGAAATACCACTAGGACCAATATGGAATATTATAAGAAAATAGCACTAAATCATTATGGGATATATATGGTTTAGTGACAGGACTCAGTAGGTTAGGTTAATGGTTGGACTTGATGATCTTGAAGGCTTTCTCCAGCTTAAATGATTCTATGCTGAGCAGTTGGGGGCCTGCAGAACTCATCCAAGGATGTTATTCAAGGGGATGTGATAACCCACCTCAATCACCCTCCCAGCTCTTTGCCACGTGTGTGTGGTGGTGCTACACAATGATCAATAACTTGTGTCCAAGGCCTTTGAACTCTCCCTGAATGAAAATTTGGAGGTGACCATTCTGAGTCACACCTGGTTTGGGCGCAGATGTCTTCTTGTAGAAGCGAAATGAATATCTGATTTGTTCAGCAAGGAAATATGTTTTAAATCTCAGTGTAATCTGACTCCCTGGATCGGGAGAGATAGTGCATGGTTTCTGTGAGACAGAAATATATCCCATTCTTGAAGTGGCTGGGAGAAAGCAGCGATCTGTGTGGGAAAGCCAGAGAAATGGCAGGAGGGAAAAGAGAAATTACATGCATTAGTGGTTTATGCCTTCCAGACATTTACAAACTCTGGGTAATGCAACTCGGAGAGAATTGTAGTCATTCTGAGGAGGCTGCATGATTTAAGAGGACGTAAGGGCTGCAGTTTACTCTATGGTTTAATCTACAAATAAAACTCCCATCAGCCAGTTGAATATCTGGAAGGAATTTGGGGCTGCATTTTTTGGAGCATAGGCATTAATAAAGGATTGCTTTATTGCTTCAGTGACCTATCACCTTCGTACTGTCTGGCCCAGTGCTGCATATGATACAGAGAGGTTAATGTATAAAACATACCACAGCTTCAACAGGTTTGGGGGAAACAAAGACAGCCTTCTGTTGTTGCCCTTGTGCTATTTTTTACATGTCATTGGTCACTTTCTGTTACATACTTTAGAGACCATTTTCTCTGTCCATTCTCCCTTGCTGGCACACTACCTGCCTAACTGTCCTTTATCAGCTCAATATCTAATTAAATTAAAGCTCTGACAGTCACATGTCTCTTACCTGCTTCATTCAGTGATATCTTCCAGGTCTTCTTTTATATAGCTGATGCATAGTAAAAGCTCCTGGGGCTTACTTTGTTTCATGCATACTATTATCTAGGGTTGGAATAAGCTCTTTTAGCACTCTTCTTAATAATGCACGCTGTGTTTAGCTTTTCTCCCCTACTCCCTTTCACTCTTTCCTTCTGCTTTCCATATTTTTCATGTTCCAAAGTATTATTTCTTTTCTAAAGATAAAACATCTATCAATATAAACAAAATCCTGCAGTCCGCACTGTGATGAACAACAGATGAGAATGACAGCAGTGAAAAAAATATGTGTTCTTTTTCTCCTGTGTTGAAGGATATCTGTAGAAAACAGAAAGATCTGGAGCTGGGATGAGCACATCAGACTACTGAAGGTTTAATTTTTATCCTTATTTTATTAGGAGGGGGAAACAGAGGCACGGTGACTTGCCCAGATGAATCAGACATTCAGCCTCAGCAGATGTGCTGGCATGAATCTGGCGTCTTTCAGAAATACCAAGACTCATTTTGATTGCAAAATACTTACTGAAGTTCATTATCAGGGAGTCTCAAAGGAGGCTCGTCCGAGAGCTGGTGGTTTGAGGCTGTTTTGAAGTAAGGGAAAGTAGATCATACCCCATATTTCCATCAGACCGTGAGCAAGGGCCCTGAACAATCAAATTCAGCCCTTTTTTTGCCCTTTGTGCCATGCTTTACATCTTTGTGCCATTCTTTACATCTTTGTGCAGCTCTGGGAGAGCACTTGAGCCAACGAATGCTGGAGTCAACAGCTCCGTTTACTCTGCAAGCACTTAAGAAAGCAGGAAGCAAATGTATTCTATACAGCACCAGAAAGCAATGTAAAACTTTTCAGTTTGCATAAATTGCAAATACACCGGAAGCAGCTTAGCCAAGGCAGCAGAGAAATCAATACAGACTGTGAAATTAACTTCAGAAGCAGAGTGAGCATTGCGTCATGGCCCCATCATTGTCTGCTGCCTCATAAGCTCTGGAATAAGAGGGGAATGCAGTGCCCAGGGTGCCATCAGGCAGTGCTCAAGAAGGCTTCCAGATCTCCTTACATAGGATCCAGAGCCCAAACGCATTTTGTATCCTAGAAAATCACACAGGGGAGAATCTGTGCTGTTATCAATAACATATGAGGCATGCAGAGAATAGCTCACAGGATTTATCTTAGCAGCTTTGCTCTGATTTTATTACAGGTAAGGTTGCAGGTTTTCTTTATTTGAACAATTTGAAAATCAGCTTGTTAAATAACATTTTTTTTTTAAAAGGAGGGAGAGAAACGACCTAAATTATTTTCATTGCAAACATTTTCTAAAAAATGCCTTGCAAAACATACCTCTGCAAAGCCAGCACAGGGCTCGGGATGCTCCGACGGTAGCCAAAGCAAGCAGCAAAACATGTGAAAGCCTCCAGACTGCTTCCAGGGTTTTGTTCCACTGCCAAAAACCAAGACGTACACTCACAGCATGAGGCAGCAAACTTCTCTGGCTTTGTGTGCTTGCACATGAGGTGGATTTAACACCAGAGATTCATGCTCCCCCCGCTTCCCCCGTTCTATTCCTCCCTTAAAATCTTGGTTTAACAACTAAGAGAATAATATGGAAGTAATTCCCGATCTAGCGGTGCCAAAAGCAGATGAAACAACTTTGCCAGTTGCAGCACATATTGATCAAACCATCTGTGCTTGTAAACCCTTTGGAAAGACCAGTTTCAGTGCGTTTCATCAGGTTGCTTCCAGCTTGGGCTTGGGACTTGTTGGGTATGGGGAGATCTCTGATGTGCTGTGTGTACCTCCTTGGGCTTTTTAGAACATAGGGTCAAGATGCCAGAAAAACAAATGGTTTGTGCTCAGAAGGAGCTGAATAGGTACAGGTGCCTTCCTGGTTAGTACCTGACTTTGCAGATATTTAGAGTCAGGGCAATGACTTGGAGCGTTCATCTCTGGAGTGAAGCTGTTATCATCAGCTATTTAAGAAAAAAATGGTGATTTCAAGATGGTTGTTAATTGTCTTCAGGATAAGGAAATCGGCTACCACTCCTGGCTGCAGGGGTTGAGTCACTTAATTGCTGCCAAATCATTGGCATTTGGGAGCCTGACAGCAACGAGAGGTAGTCAGCCACTCTTTGGGAATATAAACTCCTGCATGCAGCAGCTCCTGTTTGCTCCCATTCCCTTACTCTGGAGGAGCTGAACTGCTGGGGACTGATGCGTTTGCACTTCTGTGATGCCCAATATGTCTCTGACCTTCAGGGACACTTTGAGGGATGCTGTCATGGGGCAGCTACAAGAGGTCCCCTTCCCGATTCTTGTTTCCCAGTTCACCCTAAGGCTGGAGATACCCAGAGGTTATGGAACATGGCTGAGGAAGATCCTCAAGAAGCCTGTCCAGCAGGTAGTGTGTCTGCTAGCAAACATGCATTCTTAAATCAATATGGGTGGAGATCGAGCCTCTCAGAGAAATTTTGATCACCCGTGTGTGATAATCTCATGTACAAGGGTCAATATTTATAAAGCCTATGGGTTCAGTTTCAAAGTAACGGTGAAAAATTTGCCCCTTTTTGTTTTGCATCACTTAGAAAGAGTTGGGTGACTCCCTAGAAGGTTGTCAGCTCTGATTAATCAACCTTTAGGAATCACCAGGTAGAATCCTGGCACAAACTAGTCCTTGAAAGTCTTCATTTCAACTGTCTTCTGCTCCAGTTTTGATTATGCATCAAAGCAAACAGCAACACTCTGTCATCTGCTCTTCTTCGCTTAAATTGGTCGTAAGAGATTTTATTAGATGATTAAGGGATTCCTGAGGGCTTATTTGGAGAATGGCTTCTGTGGGTCTCCTACTTCTGCAGGAGTGAGAGCAAGTTACAGAAGCTGGAGATGGGGAGAGGCTGGAGCTGGCAGGGGCTGGGAATCTTGGATGAGAAGAGGAGCACCTCGAGGTTATCACCACTCATAACACTCTGTGGTCAGCCTAGGGCAAGGGAATCTATTATCTCAGATTTCTCTTTGCCCAATATTTGACCCAATTCCAGCCTTCAGCTGTTCAGCTTGTTACATGCGGCTGTTCAGTCTGAGGAGATAGGCAGAGTTCAGTCATCTTTGCTTTGGAGTTGTATAAGAAAGTGCTGGGCCTCTCACCCATGCTATCTCCAGTCTCTCTCTCCTAACTCCACTTCTTTTTCTGCTTCTGAACAAAGAGCTGCAGATACAGATCACAATCCAGTGCCAAGAGAAGCTGTCTTCCCAGCATGTTCATGCATGTAGAATATTTCCCAGAAGCAAATGCATTTTTCTAATCTCAGGATTTTGCTTTGTGCACTGAGATCAGATCTTGAGCAATAGAAATTCCCTGCCAGATTTCCCCTTTGCTGTGTACAACTTCTGCATATCAAAGGTATGAAGGACAGGATTCGTCTGTATAAAACTGATTTGTTAGAACCTCTGAAACCAGGTCGCATTCACATGACATTGCAGGTGAGCAGCATCAGTTAGCTGTAGGATGGTATCACTGAAGGGCATTTCTCATGTTTAATATCTGAACAGAGCCAGGAATTGGAAGAAAGATGTTAAATAACCAATGATAAATTGGGGGTATACTGATTTTCACCAGGTATGAAGCATCAAACGAATTCTTGGTTCTATTTGATCAGCTTTGAACCTCACTGTTGAATATTCAGGATTTTCAGATATTCAAAACTTGGGATTTAAAAGATTTATTAAGGTTAGTGCTCGGAGCCATTCTGTTCCACAACTGTTGAAACCACTCTCCTGTTTTCATGTTGTATTTGTATTTCCATGGTGCCCAGAGGATACTGAAACTGCCAGACACAGTGGAATGATGCACAAAACTTTGAGCCATCAAATTGCAAAGACTTTTAAATTGCCACTGTATTTCAGAAGCAAACTCCATACCCTTCAATCTTCTTTCCAGCTGTATGGCATAACACTAGATACTTCATCACATTCTCTGTTAGATTTGCTTTTTATTAAAACAGAGGACTTATCTTAGTGCTGTGCTACTGCCGCTGCATAAATTCGTAAATTAAATCAGTGGAAATAAACAGATGTCCATATGCTGAGATACAAAGCAAAGGAAAAGAAAAAATAATTCAGCATCATGAATCCAAGCATTTTATTTGCTTGCTTTGCTGAGTAAGCTGCTGGTTCTGACCACAGGATTTCAGTCCTGGAGCCTTGAAGCAAAGAGTGAGTGGTAAAGTTGAGCTTCTTTAGAACGGCCATGAGTCAGACTGGCACAAATACAGAGAGCTGAATCATGCTCCTGAGCTTGTATTCGTGTTGTTAAAAGCAGATAAAAGGAATCTTTCAAAAAGGGATAAAGAAGAGATGTATGAGGAAGGTGCAGTGATAGTGATAACTTGAGATGTTTCTTAGATGTTTTTTGAAGTGCAGAGTATTAAGTTGGTCAGTGATGGGATGGGATAGGCAGAGTTATGGGTTCTTGGGAGTTTACATTGATCTAGAGGAAAATCAAATGTAATGAAGCACCTGTACAGTCTGCCTAAGGCAGATCTGCGGGTCTGTATATAATGGTGCATTTGGTCAAAGAAATAGATCAACTTAACAGCAATCCCTCCCCCACAGCATTTGAGTCTGCGTGCCTGTATGGATGTACTCACTCAATGCTATTTATGCATGGAATCATCCTGTGAGCAACCTGAAGCCTTCAACAGCAACCAGTTATTTATGAAGGTAATAAATGGGCATAACTCTTTATTCATTGCAGGTATGTCTGTGTCTGGATGAGATGGAGAGCAATTTACAAATGTCATCCACACGATGGAGGTGGAGAAGAAGCCATAGAAGATGACACCCAACCAGAAACATGCTGCAGTTTTGTCGTGAATATCCAGGAAGTCTCTGTGGTGCAGATGTGACAGCAACAGCAGAACTTATTTCAAGGTCCCATCCCATGAAGAAGCTGTGAGTATCAGCAACCACACAAAAGAGCTAGCAGGGGGGTGGGGAGGGCAGAGTCTTGAAAATGACAAACATCATCTGTCTGTCCTGGGGGAATGTGGTAACTATTTGTGGATCCCACTGCCTAAACCTCATCAAAGAAAGAGCGTAGCACTGCTATCTATTGTTACTCTCTGTGTGTTGTTTTTTCCTTCCCATAAATGTTTCCAGCATGTTGGCTTATAGTACCAAACCCCTGCAATTCTTAGAAAGTGTTGGTTTGCTTTGTCAAGCAGAGTCATGAATGCGAATATTCCTGACTTCTGAGACAGAAGGATTTGTATGAGTGGATGAAGCACAATAGGATTATTATAATGCTCATTACCAGAGGAACTAGCTTCAGTTTCATCTGCCTGCTCCTCGGGTCCTTTACAACCTGGTAGAATGGCTTTGTTGATAATGGAGAGCATCAAGAACTGAGATGCCTAAGAGCTGACATGCCTAACAGCTGCTCTGCTTGGGGTAGGATCTTTCTGTAAGTGTGGGGGTTACTTTACTTTTTCACTTCGTGTCAATGTGGGGAACTGATCAACCAATGGTTCCTTTAGGCTGGAAAAATAAGGAAGTTACCAACAGAGATGTTGTGCAGTAACCTCTAAACACAAGTAGTGGTGACAACATCTGGACTGTTTTTTAAAACATAGATCAATAAATTAATGAGACACCAGCGCCAAGGATCTCTAGTGATCTTAATTAGTGTTAATAGCTTTACAGGAGATTGTAAGCCTGATAAGCATTGAAGACAATTTCACTGTATAGGTCTGGGATCTGTGTTGTCTTCTAATATATAAGCAGTGTAACTATACTGAATTGCACTTCTGGAAAAGAAGAAGGGAGCCAATACAGTTTCAGGATATTTTCAGTAATACCTTATCCAGTTTTTATAGAACCCTACTGGTTTCCTTCCTCTTAAACACTTCAAGATTTTCTTCCATAAAGGGTTGTTTTGAAAGCTAAAAAATATTCAGGGGGGTGAAGGTGACGAAGCAGCCAAAGGTGTGTGATAAATTAATGTAATTACTCAGGTTTGCATTTTATCTCAGAAAGATCCCATTTGTACATGCTGTGAATGCATTCATATGTGGTAATAATGGCAGTATAGTATCAATGCAAACAAAGATGGACACACGAGCACCAGCTGAGATGTGTACTATTTCTGCATTGATGTGCTGCATTGTCACATATGTTTCCATGCTGGTAAAATGGGGCTTTCATGCTATTTTTATACCAGACTTTCCTTTCACAGGACAGTTGTTCAACTTCCCACTCCCTCTCTCCTCCTCCTTTTCACCTCTGGCTGCACTCCACATGTGCCTGGGTATTGCTGGGAACATCCAAAATCACACTTAGCAGGCCAGGTATGGAAGGAAAGGGATTGTTGTTTTCTTACACCTCTTTTTCATACAGACCTGCAACTACTACTCCGGTTGCTCCCACCAACCATTTCTCCTTACTGAAGGACTCAGTCTGGCAACTTCAATCTGCTGAAATTTCTGCTGGTAAAATAATTAACCAGACTTCTTGTGTTGGCCCATGCTTCTGGTCCTTCCCTATTGAGCAGTCCTCAGTCACAGTGAACTTTTTTCCTTTAAAGCCCCATATACCTTGCCCTGTTCAATTCATGCTTTTAATCCCAGTCTTATCCACTTTGATCCTCTGCTCCTTTATTCGAGCTGGAAGTAACAGCTCTTCATTTCACTCTGTGCTAGTCATCCAAGTTCTTAAGGGACCATTCCAGTAAGACATGCCATTCTCCTGAAGCAGAGGTGTGGCAGTGGTTTCTGTTGCTCATCCATACCTTTGTATAGATGCTTACTGAGCAAGGACCTCTCTGTGAAGGGGATAATTGTCAAAAAATCAGCAAAAAGGACCCGTGGTTGTCATCTTCAGGCTTTGATGTTTCCTGTGATTCTCAGTAGTTCAAGTAATGTATATAGCAGTTTCTTCACAAATTAGTTTGGGGTACACATTTATGGCCAAAAGTCGAGTGAAAACCAGCAGAGATTAACGGATCAAATGTGCAATAGCATAATGTACTTATAGACTGACTCCTTTGCAATCAGATTCAGATAGAAGTTTTGTGAAAGACCTGTAACGTCTGGGGAGCCCCACCTACCTACAGCAGATGCTGTTTCCTCCCACTTGTGTTTTTATACACTCTAATAAGGACACTGAAAACACTCAAGCTATGGAAGAAAATATTGTTTTTTTCTTTAGATTTAAGATAAACATCATTCAGCCACAGCAGCTTTCAACTTTTGTTTCCTTTTGTTTTGTCTCTTGCTCAAAGCAATAAGAATAAAACATGCTGTCTCAGTTAGGCATTTCCTGACTCAGTACCAAACAAAACACAGCAGTGACTTTCTGTCGGCAGTTACTAGAAGCACAGAGGTGCCCTTGCACTAGGTGCAGAATGTTCACAGCTAGATGCGTGTTGTCTACAGAGCAGCCTGGCGGGAAGCACAGACACTGGAAAGGACTTCACAGCAACGTTCATAATTCAGTCAGTGATAAAACGACGACTGCACTTCTGTATCAGATTTCCAAATCATGTCAGGTTCATTCAGCAGAGTAGTTTGAAGACCATCTAGGCTTTGGTTGCATGGTTTAGAGGAAGCAAATGCTGTGCCAGTGTTGTTAGCGGATGCTGCTGTGTATCCTTGCCCTTTTACAAGTCTGGCTTCATACTCCTCCAAGTGTTTATTTTGCTTTTTGATAATACTGTACAAAGACTCAGCTGCTCACATTTTTATTAATCTTACACTTCATCTTTCCTCATCCCGATGTCCTGGTTAGAATTTCATGGTGAGACATGGAGGTAGATTGAACTGTACTTTGTTAGAAGCATTACCACCTTAGGTAAGAGACACAATGTCTCAGTGTTATATCCACGACTTAGTGGCTTTCCATACAAATGCTTCTGTAGAACACTTGGTTGACACAAACAGTTCTGCATAGCAGAAAAGAGGCGGGATTTTTTGGTAGATTTACTCTGCTGCAGTAGTAACACCTTCTGAGGCACTCAGTTTCAGCTTTCATTTCTCTACTTACTGGAAGAAAGGATTAGACAACAGAGTAACTACAGGACTCTGTAAATATTTGGTGAAGACAGGCAAGTCTTATCCAACAGCTTTGACTTTGCTAGGAAACAGGACAATGACTTTTCTCTGGAAGGGATTACAGTAAGTCCAGAGATTGGACTGGAAAGGTGGAAGGGAGATATGTTTTCTGTTTGCTCACTTCACTGAAGGACACAGCCTCTTTTTAAGCTGAAGTTTTGACAGTATATGGGCCCTGCAGTCTGAGGAGACTGGCTGTGTCTAAAAAAATCCTATGCCATCTGTCATTCCTTCCATACTCTGCATATTTGAGCAGGAGAACACAATACGTGTTTCTTCAGTGTAAGTTCAGCTCCTTTATTCAAAGCCACCCTCAGATGGAGTGAGATTGTTTCTAACTGTTGTATACTGAACCCGCTGGAAGTGTACTACAGTAGTGTAATTTGTTTCCTTTCATTCTTTGCAGACAAAGATTCCCTTGGTAAGCTATAACAAGTGCATGGGATAGTTTCTGTAAAACGCCTTTTCCTCCTTACTTCTCTTTAGATCGCCTTTGGCGATTTCAAACCTTCAGAGACAGCTGCAGCCTGCACTACTGAAGCAAGACTTTAATTGAGCACACCAGCATCCAAATATGATATCCTATGCTGCTGACTGATTAATTTTTAACCACCCTGGCTATCTCGTAAAAGGCAGGCATTCTGGAAATACACAGGTATTTTTCATCTAGGTTTCTGCTTCTGTTTTTCCGGTGTGAACTCATCTGTTCTGCTGTGATTAATAGGAAGGGTGTAAATGGACAACTTAAATCTAGACAGAGAATTTCATGCTGGTCAAAACAAGGTTTTATTCTGTTTTTCCCACAGCCTCGAGGATTAGAATTGGAGGGGGAGAAAAAACGTTTCTATTAAAGAAGCCATTTTATCAAAAACTGGAGGAGGTTGAGTTCTGCTGCTCAGACTGCTTATAGCTATGGGATTTGTTTAATTTAGAGGAGGATCTTGACACTGAATCCTTTATAGAATATGGAGACATGGAGTCAGGCACTGTTTCAAATTCTCCCAGTGCTGCTGTTCCAGTTTGCTGGTCTTACCCACCCAGCAAGTTCATTAACTCTCAGGCTTGTCTTGCTCTCCTGAAAGTTTTCTTGAGAACTGTTGAAAGGTTTTGTATTTGTTCCACTGTGGAATGAAAATCAAGTGTCAAAATCATGACGCCTGGGGCTTAGGGGTTCTTTTCCCTTTAATGGAATAAGATGGCTGTTTTCGGTCTGCCTCCATGTACTGAAATGACTCTCAATTCAAATTGCCTTAACCAAGAGGAAGATGATTTAGTTTGGGCATCTGTTCCCTGGGACCTGCAACCTGCCTGGCAAAGAAATATTGTCAGGTAGAGCTTGCCTCATTTAAATGCCATTATTCCAAGGACTTGCTCAATCTTTGTATCCTGAAGTGGGAGAGAGACCACAGAGAGTGGAAAGATGGATGGCAGGCTTGGATGAATGCCCCAGTTAGATTCTCTGTATTAGATTGTCGTGCTTTTCCTGGCCCAGACACTAACATCTAACACATTTTTAATACTATTGCCTGTTGAGATTCTATTAGAAAATGATTCAGAGTCTGGAAAGTTGGGAGGGTTGGGGGGAGGGAGGGGGCAATGAGGAATTAATTCCCTAGAAATAATACAGTCATTGTGTGTACACACAATCCAATATGTAACTCAGGTTTTTATAACCTCTCTGCCATCCTGTATGCTGGCTTTTTAAAATTGCAGTCACACTCATTATAAAGTAAATGCTTAATGCGACTGATTCCCAAACAGTTTGTAATTTAGATTCCTACTGGAAATAAAAGTAATGACCTGCAATAGCTCATTAGTGGCCACGCAAAACATTCGTTATTTCTT